TTGGATGAATTCCAGACTGAATTTTGGGGTCGGATGGATTTTAAGGTGAATTTTGGGGTCGGATTGATCCCTCAGGATGGATTTTTGGGGTTGGATTTTGGGGACTGGACGGACCCCAGACTCAATTTTGGGACTGAGAGAATCCCTCAGGGTGGATTTTGGGGTTGAATGGACCCCAGACTCAATTTTGGGGTTGAATGGACCCCAGGGTGGATTTTAGGACTGGATGGACCCCAGACTCAATTTCGGGGTCTGGGTGGACCCCAGACTCAATTTTGGGTCTGAATGGACCCCAGACTCAATTTTGGGTCTGAACGGACCCCAGACTCAATTTTGGGTCTGAACGGACCCCAGACTCAATTTTGGGTCTGAATGGACCCCAGGGTGGATTTTGGGTCTGAATGGACCCCAGACTCAATTTCGGGGTCTGGGTGGACCCCAGACTCAATTTTGGGGTCTGGATGGACCCCAGGGTGGATTTTGGGCCTGGATGGATCCCCCAGACTCAATTTTGGGGTTGGATGGACTCCAGACTCAATTTTGGGGTCTGGATGGACCCCAGACTCAATTTTGGGTCTGAATGGACCCCAGACTCAATTTTGGGGTCTGAATGGACCCCAGACTCAATTTTGGGGTCTGGATGGACCCCAGACTCAATTTGGGGTCTGAACGGACCCCAGACTCAATTTTGGGCCTGAATGGACCCCAAACTCAATTTTGGGTCTGAATGGACCCCAGACTCAATTTTGGGTCTGAATGGACCCCAGACTCAATTTTGGGTCTGGATGGACCCCAGACTCAGTTTTGGGGTCTGAATGGACCCCAGACTCAATTTTGGGGTCTGGACGGACCCCAGACTCAATTTTGGGCCTGAATGGACCCCAGACTCAATTTGGGGCTGAATGGACCCCAGACTCAATTTGGGCCTGAATGGACCCCAGACTCAATTTGGGGCTGAATGGACCCCAGACTCAATTTTGGGTCTGAATGGACCCCAGACTCAATTTGGGGCTGAATGGACNTTTGGGGGATCCTGAGGGGGGATTTGGGGGGTCCCAGCGGGTCCCATGCCCTCCCCTGCCCCCAGGCTCACCCCCTGGACGTGTCCAAGCTGATTTACTGCTCCCGCACCGTGCCCGAGATCCAGAAGGTGGGGGGGGATTTGGGGGGGATTTGGGGGATCCCAGGGGGATTTGGGGGATCCCGGGGGGGATTTGGGGGCTGGGGGGACCCCCCAGAGAGGATTTTGGGGTTGCATTGGATGAATTCCAGACTGAATTTTGGGGTCGGATGGATTTTAAGGTGAATTTTGGGGTCGGATTGATCCCTCAGGATGGATTTTTGGGGTTGGATTTTAGGACTGGATGGATCCCAGGAGGGATTTTGGGGTCTGGATGGACCCCAGACTCAATTTTGGGTCTGGATGGACCCCAGACTCAATTTTGGGACTGAGAGAATCCCTCAGGGTGGATTTTGGGGTTGGATGGACCCCAGACTCAATTTTGGGGTTGGATGGATCCCAGAGTAGGTTTTGGATCCCAGGGTGAATTTTGGGATTGAGAGAATTCCTCAGGCTGAATTTTGGGTCTGAATGGACCCCAGACTCAATATTTTGGGTCTGAATGGACCCCAGACTCAATTTTGGGTCTGAATGGACCCCAGACTCAATATTTTGGGTCTGAACGGACCCCAGACTCAATTTTGGGTCTGAATGGACCCCAGGGTGGATTTTGGGTCTGAATGGACCCCAGACTCAATTTTGGGGTCTGGGTGGACCCCAGACTCAATTTGGGGCCTGGATGGACCCCAGGGTGGATTTTAGGACTGGATGGACCCCAGACTCACTTTTGGGTCTGAATGGACCCCAGACTCAATTTTGGGGTCTGAATGGACCCCAGACTCAATTTTTGGGTCTGAATGGACCCCAGACTCAATATTTTGGGGTCTGGACGGACCCCAGACTCAATTTTGGGGTCTGATTAGACCCCAGGGTGGATTTTGGGACTGAATGGACCCCAGACTCAATTTTGGG